CTCAAACAGAAGTAGCTTAACGTACTTGGGCTTCCTTGCTAAGTTCATACGGTCAATACTTGGTCGTTCATACAGTTAATTCTCAATATGATTTACAAAGTGTCTGCTAATGTCAATAATAAATCTTTAGTTAAGACTTAATGAGTCTTTCACTTTATTTGAATGTTTCATATTTAGTTACACAAAGGCTAAAAGTGCTAGCTAACTGCACTAATATGTCGTAATAATATGTGGAAAATTTCTATAATAAATATTTTTCTTCTCTCCCACAAATTACTGATATAAAGTTTCACATACGGATATTTCTCTCCGAGTCAGTGGTGCAAATCTTCTCTGGTTTTAGTCGGCTAAAGTCCCACACTGTGGCTTTCGATGCTTTCTAGAAACATTTTTTTTTCCCTCAACTACTAAATTGCATGTTTAGTTATTTTTATCATTTAATTTAATTTAATTTCATTATTTCCACAACAAATTTTATTTAATAATTGACCATTAAACAATTAAAATATTATATGAAAATATAATCTAAATTTGTGCGCTTGTAGAACACGAAATACCCATAACATTAATGCTTTTATTTGTTTTTTGTTGTATAATTGTAAATTATTTTTTTTTATTGGTTTTGTTTTTTTTTTTTTTGTAATCTTAAACCATCCGCAAATTTATTTGCATACAAAACTCGTGTTTGTTGAATCAACATTTGAAGTTTTTGTTTTTTTCCCCTCAATTCGTGTTAATTTCCGCTACATGCCAATACATTTTTCAATTTTTCTGCTTTTTGCTCTTTGCTGCCATTTTATAAATGTCGAAGCGTGTAAAGCGACATGCAACAATTAAAAATCAAAATCGCAAATTAAAATGAAAACGAAAATGAAAACGAAAACGATAATTAAAATATTTTAATTATACTTTTACATTTAGCACACAACACACATACATGCAAATACACCATCACTTGATGAAGGGCAACATCACGTAAACAACAGCAAATCTGTGCACATATACACACACACATATATATGATAAACGCCACACGTAGGTATGAGTGTGCATAACATAAGTTCAATTACAAAATTGTGAAATTTTCTGTTAAAAATCTACAAAATGTTAACAACTCAATTCACTTGGGCGGCACTCAGGTTTATGTATGCATATTTTGCATATTTTCGCATGTGTGTGTGTATGCGTATATGCGCTTGAAATTGAAGTTTATTATCTTACAATGGAATATTGAATCAATTGGCAATAAATATGTGCCAAACATAAGTATAATATTAATATTCATACATAAATAATTACGTTCATTCTCATTTATTTTTGTCCTTCTACATTTTTCAATTTTTTATAACACATATTTGTGCCGATTCTTACACACACTCATACACACATACGGATCACTATTAAATCTTTAAGAGTAGAAGAAAAAAATATTCACATTATTTTCTTAATTTAAAACATAAACAATTTCTTCTTTTTTGCCTTTGTTTCTCTGCTATTCTCCAAACAAAAACAAACTAAACAATGCCTGTTTCAAATCTTTTACTTAACAATAAACAAAGAAGTAAATAAACGAATTGTGCTTTTGGGGGCAAGGTCAATGTGCCGTTAACAGAGTTGAACACAGCCGAGCAAAGCAAAGCAAAGCCAAGCAGTGCTGAGTAAAACACAAGAAAGCTGAGTAGAGCATAGCGCAGCCTTGCCTGTCACCGTACAGGCAAGGCAGCAGGGGTAAAAAACTCTTTGTGTGCTTGCTTGCATGCATACGTTACGTTTATAGTCTGCGTATGTATAAGTGATTGTG